ACTTCAGTTATTATAAACTTGGATCCCCATATCGGTTATCAATACTACTCCCAAAAAATATACTTAGCTCATGTGTATTTACAAAAAAATTCTTTCTTTGGGTTGAGATAATTGCTAAACACTTAGCTTTAAAAGCTCTCTTGGAATCAATGTTCCCTTTTCTTGCTCAAAAATCTTTTGGAAATCTTAGTGTCCTTTTATCTTATTTGTGAAAACATTTATAAACTCTTAGTAAGAGATGAACTCAACTCTTTACTTTTTACTTAACTTGAATCTTGAGTCTTAAAAACAAAGTTAAAATATTTCTAAAGACTCTTGAAAACTTTTAAGAACTTTGCTTCGACTTGCTTCTTAACGTTTAGACTTGACTCTTAACTTCTTTGACTTTGATCTTAACTTTCCTTAAATTCGATTATGGATTCAAGGTTATGGATGATTTCATGATGTTTAGATATACCTAAGGGTGTTGGAATCAACTAAGAAACATAGGTACATCACTTAGGAACTAGTATGAAAAGGTGGGGATAGAATGGGGACAATTGGCATCCCTGGCACTTTGAGAGGCGTGGGGCGCCAACCCTCATCTTACAGAGAGAAGGCTGGGGCGGCGCCTGTAGTCCCTACGGATAGAAAATATCTTGTGGGGCTCTGGGAGACGCAACACCCAACCCTGTTCCCAGGTGTTCTCGACTTCTCTTTTTTGTTTTTTACATTTAAACCCTCTAAATATTCATGGTTCTTTCCCCAAACACTTAGGATCATTAGTACTATCAATATACAATATATTCAACCCAAAATTACACCAAAAATATGAATCAAAACTTCAACAACACAACCATCAAGAATTCAACGAGAACTTCAACAATGTTCTACAAGAACTTAATTTCTTAACATTCAAATAACTTAGATTTACTGAATTCAAATAAGATTGGTGTTTGGGTGAACTAAAACAACACTATGTTATCTCACATACCTTTTTAGGGATCACCTCTGACAAATTCGATACACAAAACTTGAATGTTCTTGGCAAAATCTTGGTTTTTCCTCTTTTCTCCTTTTCACCAAGCCCTAGCGTGAATTCTAAATCTTTCTAAACTTAATGTAGTCTTATTTTAACCCATTTAATCCCTAAAAACAAATTAATATAATTAGGTAAGGAAAATACAACTTTGCCTTCACAAATCTAGATTGGAATTTTCTTAATCCAAAAACCCAACTTCCAAAAGGCATAACTAACTCATGCAATATTGAAATCGCGCAAACTCGGTGGCGTTGAAAAGAGTATTCTAAGGGATTTCCGACCATATATGGAACTACTCTTGATTAATTTTGATCTAGGATTTATGGTCGTTTTAAGTTGACCAAAAACTTCTTTTATTAGCTTACTTAAATTTTCTAGATTTTACTATTCTTTCCAAAAATTAGAATTTTCAAATTCTAAACTCTTCTCTAGTTCTTTCTAGTTGCGAGATGTTATAATATCTCCTCCTTGGAAACTTTTATCCTCAAAATAGGTTACAATTACTAGACTTAGGGTAGCAACATCAAGTTCAAAAACCCACAAGCAATTGCAACAAACAACATGCTTACTAAAGTTTTAGATAGTAGTAAAGGGAAAATTAGTACCTTAGTCTGTATTTTCTCTAGATTCAAAGAGATGTGGATAACTCATCTTCATGTCCTCTTCAGCTTCCCAAGTAGCTTCTTCAACAAATTGGTTCCTCCAAAGGACCTTAACTGATGCTACCTCTTTTGTTCTCAACTTCCAAACTTGGGGATCTAGGATTTGCACCGGAATCTCCTCACAAGACAAGTTATATTTGATCCCAACCTTCTCAGTTGGAATGATCAATGAAGAATCACCTATGCACTTTTTTAACAGAGAGACATAAAAATCAGATGAATCGCTGCCAACTCTTGTGGTAGCTCCAACTCATAAGCTACATTGTCAATCCTCTTGGATATTCTATAAGATCCAATATACCGGGGACTAAGTTTTCCCTTCTTACCAAACCTCATTACACCCTTCATAGGCAAAACTTTTAGGTAATCCCAATCATCTATCTCACACTCAAAATCTCTTCTCCTAACATCGGTATAGGATTTCTGATGACTCTGGGCCATTTTCAAACTCACCTTTTCCATAGCTTGATGGACTAGTTCTGGTCCTATCAACCTTGTTTCACCAACCTCAAACCATAAAGAGCTTTATATGGAGCCATTTGGATGATAGAGTGGTAACTGTTGTAAGCAACCTCAATGAGACGTAAGTGATCATCCCAATCTCCCTTGAAATCAATCACAAAAGCCCTCAAAATATCTTCTACGGTCTAAACAGTACAATATGCTTTCCCATCAATCCTCAATCAAAGATGATATTTAAGTTCATCTTTGAACCCAAACCTTTCTGAAAAGATTTTCAGAACTATGCCGTAAATTGTGCACCTCTATCAAAATGATAGAGCACGGAACTCCGTGAAGTCTTACCACCTCTTGAGTGTACAACTTAGCATAATCTTCTACCAAATGGGTAGTCTTTACCCATAAAAAGTGGGTTGATTTTGTCATTCTGTTGACTATCACCTAAATAGAATCAATCTGCCTGCAAGACCTTGTTAATCCTATGATGAAGTCTATGTTAATCAAGTCCCACTTTAATCCTAGAAGTTCTATATTCTGAGCCAAACCTCCAGGTCCTTTGGTTCTCTACTTTAACTTGTTGACAATTCGGGAACCTGACAACAAACTCAACAATGCCCTTCTTCATACCTTCCCACCAATATACTTCTCTCAAATCACGATACATATTTGTGGAACTGGGATGAATGGAATATCTAGAGCTATGAGCTTCCTCCATGATCCTCTCTTGGATTCCATCCACCATTGGTGCACACAATCTTCCTTGATATCTCAAAACACCATATCCCCCTTGTTAAAAAGCTAATACTCTTTGCTTATAAACATTTGGCTTCAATTCAAGTAAAAGGGTATCTTGGTCTTGCATCTCTTTCACTTCTGACACTAACGATGACTCATCCCCATTTGTCACTTCCTTCTGTGGAATCCATTAGTCGGACTCATAAGCGTACAAGTCTATGTACATCTTTTGGTAAGTCTTTCTTCTCTTCATCAAGTTGGGCGGTACTATCCATAGACAACCTGCTTAAGGTATCGAAAACCACATTAGCCTTACCTTGGTGGTAATGAATGCTCATGTCATAATCCTTGAGAAATTCTAACAATCTCCTATGTTTGATATTAAACTCTTTTTGAGTGATCACATATTGTAGTCTCTTCTAATACGTGAATATATTAACATGAACGCCATATAAATAGTGACGTCATATTTTCAAGGAAAAAACTACAATATCTAACTCTAAATCATGGGTTGGGTAGTTCTTCTCATGAACTTTCAACTATCTGGAGGCATATGCTACAATCTTGCCATTATATATTCTAACACAACCCAAACCAATTATAGATGCTTCACAATACACTACAAAACCTTTAGTAGCTTCTGGTAAAGTCAAAATAGGGGGCAGTAGTCAACTTCTTTTTCAATTTCTAAAAGCTTTTCTCACAAGATTCAAACCATTGATACTTAACTGTCTTTTGAGTTAACATGGTCAAACGATATGAAATACACGAAAACTTCTCAACAAACATCTATAGTAGCTATCCAAACCCAAGAAACTCCTAATTTGGAGATGTGGGTCTAGGACAACTCTGAATTGCTTCTATGTTTTGGGTATCAACTCTAATTCCATCACCAGGAACTATGTGGCCCGAAAATGCAACTGACTTAAGCCAAAATTCACATTTTGAGAACTTAGCATATAACTCCTTATCCTTCTAAGTGTGAAGAACTATTTTGAGATGACTAGCATGATCCTCTTCATTCCTTAAATAATTTAGTATGTCATTAATGAAGATGATAATACATATATATAAATATTTGAAGATAATATTCATAAGATCCATGAATGTTGCAAGCACATTGATCAATCCAAAATGACATGAAAAAAATTCATAATGCCTATATTTGGTTCTAAAAATTTTCTTTGGAATATCATATTCTCTAATTTTTAACTGATAGTAGCCTGATCTAAGATCAATTTTCGAGAAGCAGGAAACACCTTGAAGTTGGTCGAAAAGATCATCAATATTTGGAAGAGGATATTTATTCTTGATGGTTAACCTTGTTAAATTGGTGGTAATCGATAGACATCCTAAGGGAACCATATTTCTTTCTCACAAACAAGGTGGAGCACCCCAAGGTGAGATACTTGGTCGAATGAAACCCTATCTAACAGATCTTTCAACTGTTCTTTCAACTTTTCAACTGTGATGAAGTCATTCTATATAGCGGAATAGAGATAGGACGAGTATCTGGAATGATGTTTATGTCAAAGTCAATTTTTTTCTCAGGAGGGACTCCAGGTATATCATCTAGAAAGACTCTTGGAAACTATTTTACTATAGGAACTGACTCAATGAGAGGTACCTCAACACTTGAGTCATTAAGTCAAACTAAGTGATAGGTACAACCCTTTGAAACTAACTTTCTCGCCTTAAAGGTACGAAATGGAATGATTCTTAGGCCCTACTGAACTGCTACTCGACTCTATGACTAGATCATTAGAAATCTGAAACTTGACAACTCGAGTTCTATAATCTATTGATGCATAACAGACATGAAGCTAGTCCATATCTAGAATGACATCAAAATTTATCATGTCTAACTCAACTAAATCAACCATGGTGTTCTTTTGATTGATGGAAACATGACAATCACAATAGACTCTTTCTGCTAGAATGAACTCCCCAATAGGTATAGAAACACCAAAAGATTCACAAAGTTTCTCAAGGAGAATATCAAAATTATTTGCAACATAAGGGGTTACAAAAGATAAAGTTACTCCTGAGTCTAGCAAAGCATAAGCATAAAAAATAAAGACTTTGATCATACCAGTGACCACATCTGGGGAGTTCTCTTTCTCTTAGCAACTAGTGATCGCATAGAGGCAGTTTTCTCCTCCGCTAGTACCGGAAGTAGATCCTATTGGTGCAGCCCTGTCTACTGAAGCAACTGATGATGATTGGTCTCTATTTCCATAATTTCCACTACCTTGGTTATTCTTAGGGCATTCTTTCATGAAATGGCCTTTTTCACCACACTTGAAACAACCTGTCTGGCGATCCCGACACTTACCTTTGTGGGTCCTACCACACTTAACACATGCAGGAGCCCATAAACCTCCTTGTGCCACACTACCTTCAGATTTTGCTAGTCTAGCTTTGAAGTTTTGCAAATACTGTCCATGATAATCACCTTTGTTTCTTGGTGCAGGTGCACTACCAAATGATGGTGCAGGTCCCTTCTATTTCTGAAAGGAAAAACCATTCAAACAACCTTTATGCTGCCCAGACTCATTCGCTATCTTAGCTTCATTATTCCTAAACTTTTTCCTTTCCATTAGCTTTTATTCCTAAACTTGCTGCACATCGACCATCAACCTAGATATGTCCATGTCACCCTATTAGCATCGTTGCCCTGCCCTCTTTACTTGATAAACGACCTAATTCAGCAACAAACAAACCCATTCTACTTCTCATGTCCTTAATCATTTTTGAATCATATCATGATAGTTGGGTGAACTTCCACCCATACTCATACACACTGAGAGAATCCTGCTTAAGTGTAAGAAATTCTCTTACCTTAGCCTCTTTAAATTCTCAGGGGAAAAAAGGCCTCTAAAAAGCTTCTTCAAAATAGTCCTAACTTGAATGTGGTGCATCCGTATCTCTACCCGCCTTCCACTGATCAAACCAAGTTCTAGCAACATTTTTTAATTGATATGCAGCTAGCTCAACTCTCTCAGCTTTCGTAACATGCATGACATCAACACCTTCTTAAGTTCCTCAATGAAATTCTCCGGATCCTCAGTAGTGCTTGAACCGGTGAAACTTGGATGATTCATTCACAAGAATTCACGAATCCTCGAGGGTCATCCCCTTATTGTCAATCTCCTTGTTGTTGCCTTACTTGGTTAGTCACCTCTTGTCTTAACATCCTAATGGCTTCGTGGAACTCAGCGTTAATAACTTCCCCTTGAGGTTGCACTTCAGGTGCATTGGGCAACTCTGGTTCCTCTACATTCCTTCTAGCGGGACGACCTCTTGCTGCTCTTCGTGTAGGCATAGTTATATGAAACACGCGCAAGCACAAATTAGAGGGTATTTCTTTAGAGATAAACTTTAACGCACAAAAAGAGGGTGAAAGAAATGAGATGATTTCCTAAGTGTTGCAGCCTCCTAATTATAGATGTGGTGCGTTTCACACCAATAACAAGGACTCTACATACACGGTTTCATAGACTCTCTAGAACTCTTAAAATCTGTGCTTTGATCACAAGTTTGTCATGCCCCGAGCCTACACCTTGGGCATGGCCGGCACTTGAAGATCCTTGCTAGGTCACTCTGGCTGGTGCGGCTCCCCAAGTCCCTACGGACTATGAAGGTGCAGCTCCCCAACCCCTATCCGTAGGTGTTCTCAACTTTTGTCATTTGTTTTTCATCTCTAAACGCTATAAACTTTCATGGTTATTTCTCCAAATACTTATGATCGTTAGTAATATCAATACTCAATAGATTCAATACAAAATCACACCCTAAAACATGAATCAAAACTTCAACAACACAACTATCAAGAATTAAAGGATAACTTCAACAATGTTCTTCAAGAACTCAATTTCTTAACATTCAAATAGCTTATATTCCCTAAACTAAACAAGATTGGCGTGTGAGTGAACTAACGCAACACTATGTGATCTCAAATTCCTTTTTAGGGATCACCCCAGACGAATTCCACACGCAAGGCTTGAATGCTTTTGGCTAATTCTTGGTTTTCTCTTCTTTCATATTCTTTTCTCTCTTCTCAAAGCCCTATCTTGAATTCTAAATCTTTCAAAACTGAACGAAGTCTTAATTTACCCTAATTAATCCCTAAAGATGAATTAATTTTTTTAGGTAAGGAAAAGACAACTTTTCCCTTCCCAAATTCGGATTGGACTTTTCTTAGTCCAAAAATCCAACTTTCAAAAGGCATAACTCACTCATCCGATATCTAAACTGCGCAAACGCAGCGGCATTTGAAAGATTATTCTAAGGTATTTACAAATATATCAGGAACTTCTTCTAACTCATCCTAAGCTAAGAGTTATGGTCGTTTGAAGTTGAACAAAAACTCACTTTTTGACTTAGACAAATTTTCCAGATTTGTATTATTCTTTCAAAAAATAAGTATTTTTAGATTTTAAACTCTTTTCTAGCTCTTTTTAGCTGCGAGATGTTACAACATCCAAGTCATGAATTAGGGTCTTCACTACATTTTGCAAGAATTAAAGCCTAATACATTCGAAAAGTTAGTAACTCATGCACATGACATGAAATTAAGCATGACTTTAAGAAAAGATTAATCATCTCCTTACTATGGACCTTGTGAAGATGAATATATAAAAGAACTCAAAATTGGGGGCAAGTCTGTATCCGAAGGTGACTTTGAAGAGTCGATGTATATCTAGACGTTCGATAACACATGAGCTTAAATTGCAAGTTACAACGGTCCTTAACACATCAACTTAAACTGGAAGCTGCAATGCTACTCACCCCATGAGCTTAAACTGCATGTAACAACACTCCTTAATGCATGAACTTAGACTACAAGTTACAATGCTTATTAACACATGAGATGCAACCGCAAGTTACAACGCTCCTTATCACATGAGCTCAAACTGCAAGTTAAAATACTTCTCAACACATGAGCTCAAACTACAACTTACAATGCTCTCCATCGCATAAGCCTAAATTGTAAGTTAAAGTGCTCCTAGTCACATGAGCCTAGACAATATGTCATAAAGTTCTTCAAATTTGTAATAAATCTCCTAAGTTTAAGATCTCTTCAAATTTAAGTTAAATCTTCAAGTTGAAATACTCGATGAAATACGAGCTTAAATTGTATGTCACAAATCTCTTTCAATTTGCGCTAAATCTTCAAGTTAAAAAGCACCTTGAAATACGAGCTTAAATTGTATTCAACAAAGCTCTTCAAATTTGAGCTAAATCTTTAAGCTAAAATACTTCTCAAAGTATGAGCTTAAATTGTATGTCATCTAGCGCTTTAAATTTGAGTTAAATATTTAAGTTGAAATATTCTTTGAAACAAGAGCTTAAATTATATGTCACAAAGTTCTTCAAATTAGAATAAAATATTTAAGTTGAAATGCTCCTTATTGTATAAGCCTAAATTGCATGACACTCCTGGTGCACAAGAGTATAAACAATGTACGACATAATAATAATAATAAATAAATAAAACAAAAATAAATCATATACTCACCTATGAACTATGTTGTGATTTGATCCTTTTCACTGAGGTACATAGACGCTAAGAACCATATTCTAAGTTCAGTTTTATAAGTGTCAACATATCAAAACTTCTCACTTGATCTATCTCATGAAAGTAAAAACTATGAGTAATCTTTCATCAAACTTCAAACTTGCACCAAATGGTGGTGACTCGATGGGGAAAACTCATATGAATATGACTTGTTTCAAATCTTGAAACCTCTAAAATCTCTAAATCTGCAAGTTAAAGTTTTCAAATTCTTCAAGACTACAAATTAAGGAGTATGCAAGCTGAAATCTTCAAATTGTTCAATCCTGTCATTTGAAGTCTTCAAATACTCCAAGTCTACAAATTGAAGTCTTCAAATCTTCGAGCCTGCAAGTTGAAGTCTTCAAATACTCCAAGTATACAAGTTGAAATCTTCAAATTTTTCAAGCCTAGTCTTTGAAAGATAAAAATATCTCGACAAGACTTGAAGCGCATTTGTAATCATTTAAAATTTATTAAATAAAAAATTATAAAATGATTAAGATTATATTTAATTCATGAATATATTATTCCAAATAAATTTTATGAATTCATATAATTGAGTAATTTTTTAAATCCAATAAATATGTAGTTAACTAATGTCCGCTTCTTAAAGGTCATATGTCATATCACCTAAATCTGATTGGGCGAAGAAAATTCTAAAAGTATCACAACTCCTCTATTCTAAACTATAAATGTAGGTCATTATAATCTAGAAAAGGAATAATAAAATTTAAAAAGAAGCTAGAGAAAGCCCGTGGATAAAAAATCATAGATTTCTCTACAAGTTTCAAAATTCAAGAGTTCAAGAACGATCAAGATTAAAACCACCGGATTTAAGAATAAGCTCGAAATCCTTGAATTCAACTAAAAGTCAAGATGAAGATAAATTTCAAATTCATTAAAGATTCAAAATAAGCTCCAAAGCCCTTGAATCTAAGATCAAGATCATCAAGTCCAAAGTCTAGCCAAGTTCATCAAATCCACAATTCAAGATCAAGCTAGAAATCCTTGAGTTCAAGAATAAAGTCAAGATCAAGTTCAAGTTCTAATTCATCAAAGATTCAAGAATAAGCCCCAAAGACCCTTAAATCCAAGATTAAGTCCATGAACAAATTAAAAATTCATGATCAAGTACAAAAGCCCTTGAATTATATCCGAAAAAGTGAATTCAAGAGAATCATAGAGATTGTAATACTCACACTTTGAAATAATAAATATGATTGTTGCAATACATTTTCATTCTTGATTATTGTTTTATCTAAAGTGAATTTTTTTGTCTACGATATGGACTCATTAATATTATAAATTATAATTCTTTTAAATATAAAGTAAAAACATATATATGAAAAGGTAATGAAATATGATTCCGCCATGTTTTTGTTTTTTTTGTTAAAACTTAAATTTGACAAGATGGTCAAATGACCCCCAATCTACATCAAATTTTAAACTACACACTTATATTTCACGGTGGTCCTATTACTCCCCTGGCCTATTTTAAAGTGGAATTATTTCTTCCCTGAAATGTCATTACCAGACATGTGTCTTGTGGTGAAATACATGCACTTGACACATGTATTTCACCATTTAATTAAAAAAAATAAACAGAAAAGTTCTACACCTTCCACTTCCTTTATTTCCCAATCATTTCTTCAGTCTGACTATAATAAACATCATTTTTACCTCAATAAATTTCTATATCTCTAACAATTTAGAAAAATAAAATTCAAGGCATTTTTCATATACTCCGAATCTCTAGAGCTAAGAGAATAGTGTCCTAATCAAATATTTCATTTAATCTATTCAACAATTTTTTTCTATTTTTTACATTTCGTTCGATCTCCTTCCTTAGACAATTTCATTTACACATTAAATGAGTCATGACCATTCAAGATCAGATTCATCCCCTAAAGATTCCATCGACAGCTAAGATTCCATCGACAGCTCAAAATCATCGTGGATAAAAAGATCAATTTGAGACTAATTTCTGGCACAATTTGAGAAATACTTATCTCTCTCTCTCTTCCCATTCTTAATTTATTCTTTCTCCCTCTAAAATATTTATGATTAATTTATGATTTGAGTTTCTGATTTTGATTCTTCATGGATTTTATGAGAACAGGTAGGACCCTTTTTTTTTCAAATGTAGAAGCAATTATTTTGTTTTAGTTCCTTCTATGTTTGAAAATATTTTTTAAATATACAATTACTACACTTTAACTTTGTTACTCTTGAGTTCATGACATTAAAAAAAATTAATGGGTATATTTTTTTGAAAAAAAATAATTTGTTAGATATGTTCTAAATAAGTCTATTAAAAAAAATTATTCATAAAATGTATTAGTTGATAATTTTTATACCAAACATCCATCGAAAAATCTTCAATAATGATAATGGTGAAAAAATATAGTTGTATAGATAAATAAGAAAAAAAAGAGGGAAAAATAGAAAAGAAAAAAAAAGGCAACTCGCTCTCTCAGATAGGGTGAAATACACTCTCTAGGCCAACTCAACACTTAAGGGGTTATTTATTCCATATAAAGTTGGTCAAGAGGGTGATAGGACTCCCACAAAGAATAAGAGTGTAGTTGAAAAATCAGTAATAAGCCGAGGGATCATTTGACCATTTTCTCACTTAAATATAGTTAAAGCTTATTTCTAACTTTTCTTATTACATTCAAAAGTTTGCATGTTATTTTTTTGGAATGTACAATAAAATTATGAAGAGTTCTTGATGCGATAAGTGTTTTCTTATGCATAATTAGTTC